TATTCAATTATAGATAAAAATATTATTTTAACTGCATATATAATTAAACTAGTAAAAGTAAACAAATAATTAAAGTAATTATTTATTTGAAGTGGGTGTACATTTGTGTGAGTGACTGAGTCAAGTTTTTTAAAACTACTATATTGTTAAAGTAAATACTCGAGTTATTAAAACAATAGTACGACTTACTTGATTTAATAATACTGCTATTGGATCAAGAAAATTCGTTCTAATTAAACTGATGCTATTGATACAGCAATATTTTTATCTATGTATATGCAACTAAGCTTTTTGTTATTGTATAAGAAAGAATTTGATATATATTAATGAATTTTATTATAGCTAAATCATTAGTTGCTTTAGCAATAGAAGTTAGTGAAAGCAAAACTGCTTATTGGAATATCTAGAATATTTATCTAAATAGTATAAATAGTATAATAAAATAGTATAATGTAAATATTGGATGAGTATGGGGAAAATGTAAATATTGGGTGAATATATGGAAAAATTTGATGAGATTTCTCAAAGATATCGTGATTGTTTCCCAATTCCTCGCCAGTCTTACGATAGCACTTATAAATATGTAGATATATTATATACTGATGGTATGATTATATATTTTTAGCTATTACTATCAATAAGAATTGGATTGATTTGGGTCAGTTTAGTTGTCTTGAAGTAAAATAAAAAATGATTATTGATAAAATCTATTTGCGTTTAATTATAAAAAAAAGTACGAATTTCAGAGAGCAACAAACATTTCGTGAAAAACATTTGTAATGTATTTGGAGAGAATACTATGTCAATTCCAATCTGTGATAGATAGTTCGTAAAATTTAAACGGGATAATTTTAATCTTGAGAATCAGTCACTCTTCGATCGGCTTTCTGACATTGATGACGAGATTGTGCACAATTTCGTGGAAATCAATTCATGAATTTCAATACAGAAAGTTACTGAGAGGCTAAACGTTAACAGATCGATCGTATTTCAGTTTTTAAAGAAACTTGATTGCAATTTGAAACTTGATGTTTGGGTGCTGCATAATCTGACAGAAAGGAATAAAATTAACTGAGTTTCTAATTCCTTGTTTAGTTGACTAAAAACCGATACGTTTCTGGATTGATTCGTGACGGGAGACGAAAAATGAATCCAATATCAATGTAGAACGGAATGTAGAACGGAAACGGACTTGGAAGTAGAACAATGAACACTGTCAGCCTATGTCAAAAGCTGGTCTGCATTCTCGAAAGGTTATGCTGTTTGTATGGTGGGATTGTAAAAGTGTGATCTTTTATGAACTACTCCTCGTTGACAAAACGATTAATACCGATAAATATTGTCAATAATTGGACAATTTGAAGGCAACAATTGAAGAAAAACATCCGGTTTTGACCAAACAGGAAGACTTCACACTTCAATGCAAATGTAACGCAAGCTCGAAAAAGGAAGCTAAACTGGGATATCTATTATATCTCTGCCGCATTCTCTTGATATTGTTCCATCAGATTATCACTTGTATTGTTACAAAACAGTTTGAATAGTAGAAAATACCTTTCTTTTCACAATTTACAAAACTACATTTCTTTATTCTTAAACGAAAAGCCAGTCTCTTCGTTAACTTTCGCTTAAACGAAAAGCTCATCTTTTATGATAGAAATATAAGAATGCTGCTAGAACGTTGGCGAAAGACAGTAGCAAATGATAAGGATTACTTGGTAGAATGAATAAATTGTTTTTAATAAAATTACTTAGTCTATTTTTGAATTATGAAATCTATCATAAAACTTCCGCACTCACCAAATATATACGTATTAAGATAAATATTAAAAAAATACATATATATTAAGAAAATATTCATTTATTATGTACTAGATAAGTACATAATTTGTTTAATAAAATTAATGCATTTTTTCGCAAACTTTAATTAGCGAAAAAATATAAAATGGTTTTGTAAGTAAGATCAAAAGTAAGTAATATCAACAAAAATTTGCTCTATAAGCAGGTTAACAATTATTTTTATAATAATTTCTTTAGTACAGTAGCAAATCTGATTTTTTATTGATTTTGTTGTTTGATTGTTTTCTATTTTTGTTTAATTTTGTTTAGTAAGGTATAGATTTGCTAAATCAACCAAATAATTTTTTTCCGTGTTCAGATATTCAAATATTTTGCATTTTTGTTTACTACATTTTCACGTTTAAAAGAATGTAAGCCTTATTTCTTCTCGCAAAAATTATCTTCCTTGTTGCATTTTAAGCTAGAGCCAAAAATGCATGTGACAGGCGTATTAAAACGCGGGACAAAATTAAAATATTATCATATGGCGCCAGATTGCGCGACGCTGTGCAGTTGCTAGGGAAAGGAAAACGCGTAACCAGGGATCCGGAGCGAGCGCGTTTAGTACAGCTAGAATAATTTGAATGTGAAGAACTATAACTACCTCGCTCCATCCCCAAAGTTTTGTTTGCGACAGTAATAGGAACATTTTGCGTTTTAATTTTTACTGCGATTATACGTCGTATAATAATAAACAAAGTAATCGCATTAGAGTTTCGAGATGCTCATATGAAATTCGGTCGTTTATAACGTCCTTATTTCTTCTAATGTCAAGCTCGTTCTTGGCCACTCCCGACGGAGATTCATTAATTCTTTCAATGGGACTAAAAGCGTGTGCTAGCAAGAAAGGTACTTTACCAATTGGATAATCGATGGGTTACATTGTTACTGACTCGGCCACTAAATATTTCATTTGAGACGCGGCAAATATCGATTGATTCGCGCTATTCTGTACTCATTCAATTAAAAAGTCGGTCAAGCGTGTATTAACAGGTTTTCGCGTTGTTAGTTATGTGGCAAAACTAAAACGAACAATAATGTTCTTGACATGTAATCACAAATTAAGGAAAAAAAGAAGAAAAGTACAAAAGTTGCATAAAGATGAAGTTTGATACTACCATGAAAAAGTAAGTGTCCTTCCATTAAGTTAATTTCCATTTGGTAGAATAGTGCAACCGCCAAACAATTAAAATTCTTACTTTGAAGTGAATTGTATAAATCAGATCTTCCAAATATTTGAATATCTGTCTATTCGAATATCCGAGATCGGTTCTATTCGAAATCTCTCCATCGGTTTAATTCAAAAACTCAAAAAATTGCGATTAAAAATCTTAAAAGCTCTAAAAGTTATAAAATAATTCTGACTCGATATTTCTGTATTTTAGGAATAATAACAATAATAAGCAATATTTTAACGCATTTAAATGAATTTTAACTACAGTTCTATTCTAATATTCTGACGATATTAGAAGTTGATGTGAAAATGATTGATGTGAATCTGATTGATATGAATCTGATTGATCAAATAAATGATCATATCCTTTATTATTTATCTCTCTACAGTTATATATAGTTAGTATTACCTACTTAATTTATTTTTTTCACGCTGATTTCTAATATTATTAGAATATTAGAATAGGATTATGAGTACATATAAATATTGAGTCAAAATGATTTTATGTTTTAGGGCTTTTAAGGTAAGTTCATTTTTGTAAAAAATTTTTTATTTTGTATTTTTTAAATATTTATTAAGAGCTTGTTTTTTAATTTGCTTAAAAGAAGTTTTTTTCTAAATCTGTTAGAAATAAAAGCTTTATCTTGTATCTTTAGATATTCTCAAATGTTTAAGAAAGTAAAAAAGTTATCTAATTTTTAAATCACTCAGACAAGCCCAGATAATTAACATTAATCTAAGAACTATGTAAATAATAAAATGAGTAAACTACAAAAAATTTATCTCATTATCTCTAACGATTTTCGAATTATGAAGGAAAATACAAACAACCAAACATACAGCACAAACTGAGAATCTCCTTTTTTTAACTCGGTTAAAAATCGCATTATTTAGATTCAAGTTCAGACCATAAGAAGTTATCCGAATCCAAACCTGAGATCCAGAACTGAATTCGGATTTAAGTTAAATAAACAAACCTAAATAAAAAAATCAATCAATATAACAACAAAATTACCCGCGAAATAATTTTTATTTAAATACAAAAATTGTCACAATCGTTTCAGGTTAAGCAAATTGCAACTGAAATTGATTTATCGATTTGTCAAATTTTCGAGAGAAATTTAGACTGCTGCGAACTTAAATCCAGATCCGCTTTCGGATTCGATGCTTCTATTGTTCGAGTATCTTGGAAAATCTGAATCTCCGGATAACCTGAATTTGAAGTCACATTTATTTACTATCGGAATAATCGGATATCCAGATAATGTCAGATCAAAAAAAATATATATATATATCGAAACTCTGGTTAATATAAAATTCCATATTTTCTTCTCACAAATCCATTATTTCTTGAAATAATCCCTATAGCGAGTCTTGAAACGCTCGTTCCGGGTTCTTCCTTGAGCAAACAACGTACCAGTGGTTCAATAAGTCTTCGAAATTAAATTGTCCGATATATTTTATGACGGTTGTCTTAACGTTGCGTTGCCCGAACACGCGATCCACGCGTTAAACGTCAGGCATGGGGGACTTATTTGAAATCGATATGTATATCGATCTTCTTTGCGACGGGATGGACGGTTACGACGCGCTCGTAGAAATACCACAACATGCACGCTCGAGTTTATTGGCAACCGTTTTAGCGTAACAGTAAACTTCCCAGAGCTACTTTGTGACACGTGCTATCTTTTTTTATTTTAAATTTGCCGCTTTATTGGCATGGGGAGAGAGTCCTCGAGTGACGATAGAGCTCACACCTCCGATGTATTATACAATTAAAGTAAAAAGGAAAATTTTTTTTCCATGCTAATAAAAGACATTCGCTCGATCGCGGAGTAACTATAGTTCACGTAGTATGATGAAGACGAATAAAATGTATTAAATGCAATTCCTCCCGCAATGCTGCACTAAATATTCTCCTCTTTCTTTTATATAACAGACGCTAATTACTTATTATTATCTTATTATAGAGGTAACATTATCTTACCGCAATCGTAATTCAGTGTCTCGTAAATGTCTTCTAATAAGTTATAATTCTCTTCCTCCACAACATTACGTAGAAGCTTTTCTCTGAAATGTGAAATAATACGCGTGTAATGTTATCAATTAATGCGTGTATTATCATATAATTAAATACAAATAACATCCATTATTCATATATATGAGCGCGATTTGAATTTTCGTTTAAATTGTTTAACATTAATAGTCTGTTTAATCGAATTTACTTTCTTTAATTGAATTAAAGCGCTTTAATGGAGAAATGGTAACAAATATACTCACAATGACGCTGACATTGGGAAAGGTGCTTCACGTTTACTCAACAGAGCCTCTAACGCCACAGCCACCACTTCATTCTGCAATAAAAATCAATGGAATGGTGATGAGATATTGAAATTAATGAAATACCATCGTTATGATTCGTAAAATACAATAACTGATATATTATTGTTATGATTCATAATATTCAACAGTTACCAATCAAAGCCGAATCGCATATAATATGTTTGCATTTAAAAACATTCGACGCATAGAAATACGTAAAATATATACATGCATAAATCAATACCTGTATTGCAATAATTCCGAACATTCATCGAGTAATTCTATCGGACGTACACGGTTTTTCGAAAAAAAGAGGGAAAAAGCATTTAAAAGATTGATACGTGCACGCGTACACGTAAGCCGTGCGTCAGCATGATGAAAACGGATTACATGAGGTTCAGCTTAACGATGCGTATGAACGCATGCGCTTTAGTAATTGTGTAATGATAATTCGATAGTTATTATACGGCGCCTAGATTTCCACCGTAAATTGCGGCCTGCACTTTACAAGAAGAGTTATAGCTCCATTTAGTACGCTCGTATGGGCAATTCTTCTCAAGAGAATAGCGCTTGGAGCACTCATATGGGACATTATTTTAGCCACATGACCTTCACTGCCTAACGATATTGGAGGCAGAATTATCCTCTGGTTTAGCGCTATCGTGCGGAATTATCTTAAGTTACAATTAACAATATACTTTTCTTCTTTAGAATCTGCGAATATACCAAATAAATTATTTAGCTATGTTTTTCGTGAGGCCGTTCCAATATTATTTGGCGGAATTGCGTGAATATGAAACACTGAAAACTCTCCTCTCCCCCTTTCCTTCTCCCTCCCCATTCTCTGTATCTCTCTCTCTCTCTCTCTCTCTCTCTCTCTCTCTCTCTCT